TGACTTCGCAGTTATGATGCCTGCATTCCACATGGGAGTGCCGGGGTTGGTTCCCAGCTCCGACTCCTGCACCCTGCATCCTGCTAATGCAGACCCTGTGAGACAGCAGCAATGGCCCAAGTAACGGAGCTCCCATCCCCTGCATGGGAGACCTGGATTGAGTTCTCATCTCCAGGCTTTGGCCCTTCCCAGCCCTAGTTAGTGTGCAGGCATTCGGGGAGTTAACCTGCAAGATGAGTCTCTCAGATTAAACACACAAACAGAAAAGGAATTCTCCAGTGTCAAATGTCAGTCATGCTTAGATAGAAAAACCTTGATCTAATTCATGCTAAATCCTTGATCTAATCATGTTACGTCCTTCGCCTCTTCCTCCTTCCTCTTGTCCACCATAAAACAATTAAAATAGCTTAGAACTTCCTTACTCCCTAAAAGTAATCACTATTAGCAGTTTGCTTTTCATTCTTCTAGCTGTTGTCTTTATGACTTTAATTAAAGTGGTTGTCATGCCTGGATGCATATTATTCACCTAGAGAGCTTTTCAAAAATGCAGATAGCCAGGCCACAGCCTCTGGGATTCTGATTTAATTCATCTAGGGTGAAGCCCAACCACTGGTATATTTAAAAAAAACAAAAAAAAAAAAAAAAAAAAAAAAAAAAAAAACAACTCCCAGGTCATTCTGAAGTGCAGCCAAGATAGAAACTCACTAATGTGTAGAAATTTATATATACTTATTTGAAAATATTTGTGCACACATTATTATTATTATTATTTACCTTAGAGGCAGAGAGACAGAGGAGAAAGAGAAAGAGATCTCCAACTGTCTAAAAAAAACTAGGACTGGACTGAGCTGATGACAGGAGCCAGGAGCAAGTCTCCCACGTAGGCGAGAGGAACCCAGTTACCTGAGCCATCCCTGCTGTCTCCCAGGGTCTGCCTTAGTAGGGTGCATTGACCCTAGGAACTCCAGTGTGAGACGACCATCTTTTGACAACTAGGCTCAACATCTGCCCCAGAAATCTATGTCTTTGATTTCTCATCTTAGATAACTTTTGACTATTATAAAAGATGATGGCAATTCTGTAATCTGTTCTCCATACCTCTTTCTTCTTCAACCTCTTCTATTCATATTGAACTTTATATGGTTTGTGTATAGCATGATTATAATAATTATGGACCTATTAGCAGAATTTCCAATTATGTGACCAAGTAAATATAAATTGCTGTTTGTTGGCCCTTTCAGTCTTGTGACTAATATTGGTTTGATTCTTGTTCCTTTGCACATGACCTGTTTTTTTCTTGTTAGAAACTTCAGGACTCTTTTCCCTTATAGCTCTGAAGTTTCACTTGGGTGTCCATTTAGGAGTCTGTCTCTTTTTAAAAATTAATTTATTTGAAATCAGATTTACAGAGAGAGAGATCTTCCATCCACTGGTTCAATCCCCACATGGCCATAACAGCTAGGGCTGGGCCAGGTCAAAGTCAGGAACCAGAAGCTTCATCCATCTACCATGTGGGTGCAGGAGCCCGAGGTCTTGGGCCATCTTCCACTGCTTTCCCAGGCGCATTAGCAGGGAGCTGGATCAGAAGTAGAGCAGCTGGGACTCGAACCAGTGCCTATATGGGATGTCGGCACTACAGACAGTGGCTTAACCTGCTACGCCACAGCGCCGGCCCCAGGAGTCTCTAATTGTATTGAGCATCTCGTGATTTCCTTCTGGAAAATCTTCATAACTGTTTGTCTTTGGGAATGTTTCCCTCCTAGTTCCCTGCGAACGCCTTCTGTTCTGTTGTGTTCTGTGTGTGTCCCTCTGGAACTCCTCTACGAGGAGCACTGGACTTCTGCATCGCTCCCCTGTCTCTTTCAACGTTTTCCTCCTGTCTCTCTTTTTCCTGTACATCCTTAGGAACATCCTTAGCTTATGTGATCTTCTGCCTTGCCCGTGTTATAATTCTGGATGTCTATACTTTCTGTTATGTCAATGTAGTATTTTTAATTTTCAAAAAAAAAAAAAAAAAAGAGAGAGAAAATCTCTCTTGTTCTCTTTAAAAAAAATAAAATCTCCAAAAAAAAAAAAATAAAATAAAATAAAATCTAACAGCCAGGACATACTTATTTTCTGGATACAGTGCCCCCTTTCTTTCCTTGGGGTGGAATGGGGAAATAGTAACTAGAATGCTTGCATTTGTTTTGTTTCCTTCCTGGGTTGCTGTCCTGTTTGGTGATCATGGGTGCCATCAGCCTGGTCTCTCATGCCCGGCAGTTGTTGGCTGCCCATTCGTGTGAGTGAGTGGAGAACAGGCTGGTTTGTCTAACGCAGGATCATTTCCTCTGCACTTGTGTCCTCTGCTTTGCCAATAGACGCGCCCTTGATGGGGCCTCTCTTATCTTTCTCCGAACCCTCTGATGAGTTCCTTTGTGGAAATGTGAGCTCCCTGAGGGCGGCAAGTGTTGTCTCGGCTGCTGCTGGGCTTTAGTGGAGGCCTGCCAGCATTTTGAAAGAATGAACAAGTGCCGCAGGCAGGTGGGTTGAGCCTGTGCTGTGTGGCTGGGGAGCTGCAGGCGGGTGGGTTGAGCCTGTGCTGTGTGGCTGGGGAGCTGCAGGCGGGTGGGTTGAGCCTGTACTGTGTGGCTGGGGAGCTGCAGGCGGGTGGGTTGAGCCTGTGCTGTGTGGCTGGGGAGCTGGGTTGGGGGGAGGATGCTCCATGGTAATTGCTTCCTGCGGGAGGAGTGCATTCCAGCTCTCTTCACCCTTGGCCTAACTTCCTCCCACCCCGTCCTGGACGCACACTTTATGTGGCCTGAAGGTCAGCAGGTGCCTGTCTGCCCTGTTCTGTCTCAAGCAGGGGCGCCCTCACTAGGGGCCCTTCTGGGAGATTTGTCATTGACGCTTGGGCCACCAGTCACTCCTTTTCCTGGAAGCCGCAGGGAGAGGTCATGCATCCTCCAGCCGCCCCAGCTGTTCCAGCCGTTCAGTGCTGGGACTTACCTTAGGCAACATTGTTGGTGCTAATTTCTCCACCAATTTTTCTATTTTCTGTATTTTACCTATGCCTTGAGATAATAGCCTTTAAACTTTTTAAAATTAATACATAATAATTGTACATACTAATGGGTACAGTGTAGTATTTTGATGCATGTATATGATGTATAATCATCAAATCAGGTTAATTACCATATCCACCACGGCAAACACTTACCATTTCTCTGTGTTGGCTTTGATATGCTGACTTCATTTCTTTTGGAGACAGACCCAGTAGTGGGATTGCTGGGAAACATTTTGGGACATTGATAGGAGCAAAGTTTTTTTTTTGGATAAAACCTCAAAAACATAGGTAACAAAAGTGAAAATGGGCAGATGGGGTTATATCAAACCAAAAAGCTTCTGCACAGCAAAGGAAATAATCAACAAAGTGGAGAGATAATTTAAGGAGAGAGAAAATATTTGCAAACTGTCATCTGACACAGGATTAATACACAGAGTATATAGGGAACTCAACTGAACAGCAAAACAAACAAATAACCCAAATTTAAGGATGGGTGGTAGATCTGAATAGACATTTCTCAATGGAAGACGTACATGGCCAACAAGTGTATGAAAAAATTCTCAACATCATTTGTCTACAGGGAAATGCAGAGCAAGACCACAGTGAGGTCTCATCTCACTCCAGTTAAAATGGCTTCTATCAAAAAGACAAAAATAGCAAATGCTGGGGAGGATGCTGGGAAAAGAGAACTCTCACGCACTGTTGGTAGAAATGGGAAGTACCTCACCCACTGTGGAAAACAGCGCAGAGGCTGCTCAGAAGCTACAAAGGAGAGTGAGAGAAATAATGGTCTTTTGTTCTCCTTTATATATTTATTTGAAAGGCAGAGTGATAGAGAAGGAAGGAGGGAGGGAGGGAGGAAAGAGAGAGATCTTACATCTGCTAGTTCACTCCCCAAATGGCTGGGCCACTCTAAAACCAGCAGCCAGAATCTCCCTCCAGATCTGCCACATGGGTGGCAGGAGCCCAGGTACTTGAGCCATCAGCCATTCCCTTCTCAAGTGCATTGGCCGGGAGCTGGATTGGAAGCACGGCAGCTAGGACTCAGATATGCACTCTGATATGGGATACTGGCATCATAAGTGGTGGCGTAACCATGGCACCACAATGCCAGCTCTTTGTTCTCTTTTCTTACCCTGGGACAGTTCTACTCTCTTAAAGATGGCGTCTTTTCTTAGTGGTGGTTAAGACACTTGAAAGTCCAAGGGAGCAGGCAGGTGTCTGTACGCAGTCTGCCATCTCAAGCTGGAACTGTCCAATGGGTTGGCCGTTCTGCCTGGTGATTTTGTCCCAAAAGTTATCTTTAAGGAAGTTCAGTTTATAGATGATTTGAAATAATATAAATAAATCAGTAGTGCACAAAGGCTAGTCAATGATAAATTTTTTATCCATGTACAGTAAAAAAAAAAAATTCTGAGCTGATGTCCTTTCTACTTTTTTCTCAATGTTAAAATGCTTTTCTCAAAAAATGACAAAGTTAAATGAAACTGGCGATGATAACAGGTGGTAGTAGTGGGTTTCTAAAACATGTCTTCACTTTTAAAAATGTGGTAATCCAGGGCAGGCATTGGGGGCAGAGGTTAAGATACTGCTTGGGATGCTTGCATCCCATACCAGAGTGTCTGGTTCAGATCCCAGCTGCATTTCTGACTCCAGCTTCCTGCAAATGCACAGGCAGCAGTGATGGCTCAAATACTCGGGTCCCTGCCACTGTGTAAGAGACTGGAGTTGAATTCTGGGGTCCTGGCTCAGCCTGGCCCAGCCCTGTCTGTTGCAGACATTTGGGGAGAGAACCTACAAATGCAAGATCTTTCTCTCTCTCTCTGTCTCTCTGCCTTTCAAATAAAATAAAAATAAATTTAATCCTATGTCAGTGTGTCTTTTAAATTAATGTTGCAGATATGTGAAGTTTCTAAGTCCAGACTGCCAGAATTACTTCTTTTTGCTTACTAAGGCGTTTGCAGATATGCTGAAAGTAAACAAGACCTTGAAAAGTCTGAACATAGAGTCTAATTTTATCACTGGAGCTGGAATCCTGGCCCTGGTGGAGGCACTGAGGGAAAACGACACTTTGACAGAGATCAAGATCGACAACCAGGTAAGGAAGGGTGGGCCAAGCTCACTCACAGGGTCCTTAGAGAGAGGGCCAGAGGCCACAGGGCGGCAGTTCCAGTAGCTTCTGGCCTGTGGAGTGGGAGTGGGAGTGGGAGCGGGAGTGGGAGAGGGGGCAGCTGAGACATGACAAGCCAGCTGGCCCCTAGCCCCAGGCACAGCAGGTAGCAGAGGGGAGGGGAGGAGGTGGCGGAGGGGATGTTGACAAGCTTAGCTCTGCCACCACTCTCCTTGCCTTTTAGTTTCTCTGCCCAGTGCTGTCCCAGCCTTGCTTTGGCCTCTCACTGGGACTAGGACTGGAAGGAGGAAGCTGGGTGGCCGTGCCCGGAGGCTCCAGCTCCTTATCCTTGGTTGGAGGCTGCCACTAGGAGCAGACCTAGGCTCCTGCAGTCTGGTGCTGGCCACCGAGACAGTTCCAGGAGATAGTGTGACTTAGAGTAGCGGGCCACACCACAGTGTGCCCTCTCAGCTCTGCTCAGCGCTTCTCAGGTCCTCACAGCAGCCAGTGTGAGCTGCCAGGTCTGGTGCCTCGGAACCTTCTTTTTCCCAGCAGTGGCCTTCCCTGTCTTCAGAATACAGCAGCTCTGAGCCGTTAGCCACAGTGCTGGGATCTGAGGGGTCTAGACATGGAATGAGGAGAGAGCAAGCCGGCTGGTGGTGTAGGCATTCCCACGAGGGGTGGTAGGGAGGACGGCGGGCAGAGTGACTGTTTGGAGCACGCCCTGCAAGTCTGTGGGCTGTCTAAGAAATTCGCTGCTCCAGACCCTCCAGATTTGATGAGGCCCCAGAGTCCCCGCCAGCACTGCTGCCCAAGCCTGGAAGCCCTCAGTAGTTCCCATGGAAGTCTACCCCTGTCTTGGCTTTTTCTATACCACATTACATGAATGGATTATACATTGAACCTTACAAAAGGGAAGGTTTTATCATACTGCCAAAATGTCACCCACTATTCACTACAACATAGAGGAAACCCCTAAAGAAATTACAGTTGACATCTATGTAAATAGAACACCCAAATCAAGGAGGAACAGGTCTGGGTTTACCTTTTATTGAAGGCAAAGCATCAGAAATGGTGCTGAGCAAAATTTAGGCTCCTGAGGAAATAAATAGCCAGCTACTTGGAGAAGGACTCAGATACTTGGGAATGTAAGTGTGGAGCTAACTTTGGATCATTGCATTAACACTGCAAGTTGCCCCAGCCCAGGACTCAATACATCACTTTGGGCCACTTCAGGGACACAAGCCATAGCTGTGGCAGCCCTAGCTTCAGCTTAGGTGCCCATCTTTGATACAGTCCCTCTGTTCCAAAATGTGTCAGGAACTGAAGTTGCATGAAACTTTGAGGACAGGATCTCTTTCTTTCTTTCTTTCTTTTTTTTTTTTTTTTTTTTTTGCCTCTCCCACCCATAGATTCACATGGTTTAGCATGCTAATCTGTACACTATGGAACCCACAAATTGTTACTGTCTTACTGGAAATGTCACATTGTATTGATTTCTTGGTAAGAGACTTGTTGGATAAATTGCTGGGTGACAAGAAAAAGAGCAAAGAGTGAAGCTTTCACACTTTCCTGGCATGCAAAGCTCCTCCATAAACTCTTCTTCATCTATTCCTACTTACACTTTCCCCACTTAAATTGCATAGGACTAGCCAAAAATAAACAGGCAAAGCAATAAGAGAGTCCCCCAAACAAACCTGGATACACCTGAGAATTTTGCTGAAATAGTATTTTAAATTAGAGAAGAATGAAGCAAAAGTAGGGCAATTTGCTAGCATTTTAGCAGAAAATAGTTAGGTGTGTGTCCTCATTCTTAGACAAAATCAATTCCAGCTGAAATGCAGATGTTAGCATTAAAATCATGAAACAGATCAAAGAAATAAGGAGGAATGGAGAGAGGCTTCCTAAGTGTACATATGAATAAGGAGAACAACTACTTTTATCATATGAAAAATCTAAAAGTCTCTATAATAATCAAAAAGAAAATAAAGAGACTGAGCAAAGTGTTTTCAGCACATTTGACCAAGGGCTAATTTCCTAATATATAGAAACTTACTGATAAGCAAAAAAAGAAAAAAAATTGAATACAAAAGGAAATTAATTGTTCTCATTTATAATTTGAGATATGCAAATAAATGCAAATGAGATATCAACTTTCACCAAATAGGTTGACAAAGATGAACAAAAACTGGTAACATCTCATTTGTCTAGGTAAGGAAAACTGTTAACATTCACATAGCTGGAGTAAAAATTATCATAATCTTTGTGGGTAAATCAGTAATTATCAAAATCTGCACTGTGCTTGCCTTGGAGCCTGCTACCATTTGCCCTGTAGGCCCACTGCCGAAATACCTCCAGGATGCAGCCTGTGAGTGCCGGCAGGGCCTGGCTAGATAAATGCCCACCGTCATTGCAGTGCTGTGTAGCTCTTTATCAGAATGAGGTAAATATGTATTTGCCAGGTATTTGAAAGGATACCTGTGATGTTAAGTAAAAAGTGTTTCAGAACAGTGTACTGGTATAATCCACTTATGGATGTGTGTATGAATGCATGGAAAATGTTTAGAAGCCCACACACCACATACCAACCTGACTTTCTCTATGGGGATTGAGAGTATTGTGGGGAAGGGGCTTTTATATTTCACATCCTTTTTTGTTTGCTTTTTTCCTAAATAATCCTGTGCTTTTTATTGAAAAAGTTCATTGACTATATTATGAAAATATATATTATGTCCCTTAAATCTAATCTTAAATTGCTATATTTACATGCTCTGATTAATTTTTTAAAAAAGTTCTGCTCTTTATTTTCTCATTATTCTGTGTCTCAAACAAAATTCCACTCACTTGAACAACTTGGGGTTTTTCTGCATCCCAGTGCCCCCTTCCGTGTTTGCCAACTCATCTGACCATGTGTGTGGTTCAGACCACAAGAAAGGCCATTCAGGGCCTCCTAGGGAGACTCTGATGCAGGACAGTACCTCATTGGTTGGTGACCTTCAGATATGGTTGTGGATCCCAGAACAGAAAATTCAGTCGTGGAGTTGATTGCCGTAAGACAGCTCCACCCTTTGTTGACCCCACGGATGCTCGGGTGAATTAGAAACACCGAGTGGTGTCCTGCTTTCATTTCTCTTCTGGAGTCTCCCTGTGCTACATAAATGACGTAGTGCATTTTTTCAGTGTAGGATGCTAGCGGGTTGGATTTGGTTTCTAGATACAGAAGAGAACTCAAATGACAGTATGGGAGAAAATTCTCGAATGATGCGGCCTGTCTCTGAGACGGTGGCCTCTTGGCCCTTTTGTCCAACACGTAGCCATGTCACTTTCCTGTGTGAGTAACTGTTGTTTCTTCCCCCTTGGCCGTCCTGTTGTGTGTGTGCACCTGCGAGCAGAGGCAGCAGCTGGGAACTGCTGTAGAGATGGAGATTGCCCAGATGCTGGAGGAGAATTCCAGGATCCTCAAGTTTGGATACCAGTTTACCAAGCAAGGGCCACGGACAAGGGTGGCAGCTGCCATCACCAAGAATAACGACTTGGGTAATGCAGCCATGACGTGTGCTGGGAGCCGTTGCAAGAGCATGCTGTGCGTTTGTTTCTTCTCTGTAGATACAGCGTGTGACAGACACCAGTCGTGGCCCAGTGGTGTCACTTAGCTCTTCATCAAAGACACCTTCTTACCAAGTCCTGCGAGCCCTTCCTTGTGTCCTCACAGTGTTTGAAGCGTTATCGTAGCATTCTGTCAGAAATGTCCAGCCAGCATTTGGTTGTCGCTTGCCTTTTTTGGTATGGTTGCTTCTCCTTGACTTACTCCTCACGTATAGATTGTCCTCTGTCGTCCACACCAGAAGATAGACACAGAAACACTGAAATTATCACTTTACTTACGTTTGACTTCTCACTGTGCTTTGGTGCTTAGATTTGTTTATTTATTTATTTATTTTTAGAGATTTATTTATTTACTTGAAAGAGTTACACAGAGAGAGATGGAGAGGCAGAGAGATAGAGAGAGAAAGAGAGAGTGAGAGAGAGAGGTCTTCCATCCACCGGTTCACTTCCCAGTTGGCCGCAACCGCCGGAGCTGCACCAATCCAAAGCCAGGAGCCAGGAACTTCTGGATCTCACATGTGGGTGCAGGGGCCCAAGGACTTGGGCCATCTTCTACTGCTTTCTCAGGCCATAGCAGAGAGCTGGATTGGAAGAGGAGTAGCTGGGACTCAAACAGGTGCTCATATGGAATGCTGGCACTGCAGGCGGCTGCTTTACCGGCTACGCCACAGCACTGGCCCCAGTGCTTAGGTTTAAATACAGGCCTCCTGTCTGACATTTTGGTACTTTACATGTGAAATAAACTGATGGAACTATGTTGTACACTCTGAAGTAATTGATTCAGTTAGCTGTATTTCATCTTCTTATTGTCACTTTTTGCTGAGGATCTATGCCATCTCTTGTGTTGTGATGAGGAGAAGAGAACAGCTGGGGAATCTTGGTTTGGGACAGCCCATCACCTGGAGCACACAGTCCATTTGGCGAGCTGTCACTTAGCCAATGGCACCCTACAGTCCCCAGTTTGAGTGTCAAACCTTAGAGGAACTGAGCAAGGTGTTCCTGGCAAAGAGTTGCAAGATGGTGCTGGCCTCAGTGAGGATTCAGATAGTGGACAGGATAGATGCTAAAGTACAAACAGAGAGCAGGGAGGAGCAAATCAAAGTTAATGTCCACTTCCCTGCCAGCCACACTTAGCCAGAACCCTTGAAGCCCAGCCAGGGTGCTGTGTGTAGCATCAAGAGGGCAGCTGGGGAATGGACATTTGGCCTAGCAGTTAAGATGCTAGTGTCCTACATCAGAGTACCTGGCTTTGAGTACCTGGTCCTGGCTCCCAACTCCAGCTTCCTGCTAATGCAGAGCCTGGGAGGCAGTGGTGATGGCTCAAATTACGGGACTGCTGCCATAATATGTGAGAGATGTGGGCTGAGTCCCCAGCTGCTAGCTTCAGGCTCACTGCGGAGCTATTGTGGCCATTCGGGGATATGGATCAACAAATGGAACCTGTCCCTTTCTCTCTCTGTTTCTCTCCATCTCTCTTGATGTCACCCTGTCTTGCTCTCTCTTATCTCTGTGCCTCTCAAATTTAAAAAGAAAAAAGAGGTTGGCCAAGCATAGAACAGTGCTTACCCATGGGATGTACAGGGGGGGCCTGAGGGGCAGCCCAGCAAAGAGGGATTTGGGGTAGGGGGAGGCAGTGGTCAGAAGGCAGTTAGGGAAAGCGCACGGAGTCTATGCTGAACAACTGAGAGACCAAAGGAAAACATGCAAGACGAGAGGTTTGAAGGAAATGGAGAGGCAGTTCTGAGCCCCACAGCAGCAACTCTGGGCACCAGCTGGTGTCTTAATTTCCCAGAGCCTAGGCAGCAGCAGGCTGGGCACTGAGAGTGGAGAGTGGGGTAGGTGTTTGACACAGCTGGAGCAGCCCAGACCTACCCGAGTGCATGGCTTCAGATCCCAGCTCTGCTTCCCATGCCAGCTTTCTGCTAACGTGCACCCTGGGAAGCAGCAAATGACGGCCAAGCACTTGGGTCCTTGCCACCCACAAGGGAGACCCAGATTGAGGTTTGGGCTCCCGGCTTCGGCTTTGCCCAGACCTAGCTGGAGAGTGAACTAGTGGATGAAAGGCCTCACTGTATCTCTGTCGTTTTGCATTTCAAATAAGAAATACGTAAATGTTTTTTATTTTTATTTTAGATTATTTATTTATTTATTTGACAAGTAGAGTTACAAACTGTGAGAGGGAGAGGCAGAGAGAAAGGTCTTCCTTCCATTGGTTCACTTCCTAAATGGCTGCAATGGCCGGAGCTGCACCGATCTGAAGCCAGGAGCCAGATGCTTCTTCCTGGTATCCCATGTGGGTGCAGGGCCCCAAGCACTTGGGCCATCCTCCACTGCCTTCCCGGGCCACAGCAGAGAGCTGGATCAGAAGAGGAGCAGCCGGGACTAGAACCAGTGCCCATATGGGATGCTGGCACTGCAGGTGGAGGATTAATCTGAGCCATGGTGCTGGCCCCTATTTGTTTTTAAATAGCAAAGTAGAGAGTTGGGGCAAGACCACAGCCAGGGCACCTTTTTGCTAAACCCAGGAAAGTTTGAGAGGCCTCATCCTAGGCATCAGAAGCGCTTTCAGGTGGGGGATGGGGAGAAGAGGGTTGCAGAAACCGGGAGAGGCCGTCTGAGCAACTTGCTAGACTAGGAATCAGTGTAAGGGAACCCTGTGAATCACAGCTTCCTTGCAAGTCGGGACCATGGAGACTTTATTGAGAAGAGGTTTGGAAACTTTGAACTTGTGTTTATAGCTCCTTCTGGTTTTCAAGCCATAATCAGAATTAGGAGGTTGTGATTGTGTTAACCTGGGACGTTGGTTAAAAGCAGTAATGACTGAGATGCGAAGAGCTAAGAGGACGTGCTGTGGACAGTTGGGAGGTCACGGTTTCATGGTCTGTCTGGACCATCTACTCCACAGAAGGGGAACGTCCTAACGAGCTCCCAGTCACACACACCTTGCCGTCAGTGTAGATTCCAGCAGCCACTGGATTGTTTTATCGTTTCCATGCCTTGCCTTGTTGGGTATTGAAATTTAATATAAATGTGTCTTCATGTATGTGGGATTACTATTTTGTGTGATTAAGGTTGCTTGTCTTTCCATGTGTCTTTTCAGCCTTTTTTTTTCTTTCTTTCTTTCTTACCTAGTTCGTAAGAAGAGAGTTGAAGGAGAGCGAAGATAAACTTCTGCAAGAAGAGGTGTGGTTTCACCAAGGCAGGCATTTAAAAACAAACGAAAGCCGTCTCCACGCCCACCAGGACCTTGCTATCACAGGTCATTTGTTTCTGCTACCACACAACTAATCTAATTATTATTATTTTTAGCATTACTTATTTATCTTGGATTTTTTTTAAATATATACAATTGTTTTGTTTGCTCGTGGGCACCTCTGGCAACTCGTACTTGTGGACTGATCCAGATCTGAGAGGGTGACAGTGATGGAAAATGATTTTAACCACTTTCGTTGAAAAGGTTTCCTGCTTTCTTACGTGAACTTTTTTTACAATCACTGAAAGGAATTTCGTGTATAATATGTGTTTGTAGCTGTGATTGCGATAGAGGCCTATCTCTGTTTACATGCACACCTTAGAGTTAGGCTGAATACATCAGAAGTGTTCTGCTGATCACATGAGAAGTTAGTATTGCCAATTTTTGGGTGAGAAAAATGTGACGAGTTGAGCACAAATTTTCCTTCAGTTCCAGAAAAATCACCAAATGTACACGCCCCACTGATTGATCAGTGGCATCATCTTTGTGCAGCAAGACAGTGTTCTGACACTTTACAAATATGTGTAAAATATTTGTCACCACACAAGTATAGCTTCAAGCCAGACTCACCCATAGCAAAATGAATGAGCACACCCGTGTTTACTGGCTGTTCAGCATAAATTGGATCTTCTGTATATGATAGGAAATTTTTAAATTTTAGTAAGAGGGAAGATTTTAAAGTAGTACATTCCTAAACAGTAATAATTGCACCTTTATCAAGGTTGTTTGATACACCTAATTGCATTAACTTGGCAAACTTTAGAAGTGTTTATTACCTTGTAGTGTCACAAGGTCACAGGATGAAATGTGAACATTCAGGTTAATTGACGTTTCTGTCCACCTGACATGATCCATCCAGACATTTGCAAATGTCTGGGAAAAAGTGTGGATTATCACTTACTCAGATGTTTGTCATCTCAAGGACAAAGCCTGGGAAAGTACAACTGAGATGATTAGATTATGTGTAAGCCCTAAAAAAGTTTTTTTAAGAGGCTGAGTCTAGAGTTCCCATCCACTGGTTCACTCCCCGGATACCTGCAGCAGTTGTGGCTGGGCTGGGGTTGGAGCCTGGATGCAGGAACACAATCTGGGTCTCCCACATGAGTTACAGGAACCCAGATACTTGAGCTCTCACTGCTGCCTCCTAGGGTCTGCGCGGACAGGAACTTGGAGTCAGGATCTGAGGCTGAGAATCAAACACAGGTGTTCTGATGTGGGATGTGGCTATCTTAACCACTAGACTAAATATATTTGTATCCACTCCCCCATGAATCCTTTAATGTGGTGGTGCAACAGTGCAATGGTAAATTAAGAACACGGATGATTGCAGCCTTTGGCTCGAGCTCACCTGTCTTTGATAACTCAGTGCTGAGTATGTCATTGATGTCACTCTGACACTATCTGTGTCATCCTTTCCTCCCTACCTCCCTTCTCCCCTCGCTTCCTCCCAACTCATTCTCTCTTCTCTTTTTTGCTGTAATTTTGAACCTTGTAAAGGTGGTATTCTTTGTGTTAGTGACATTTGGAGCTAAAGAGTTTGCTGGCCCAGAGTAGGGAGGACCAATGCAGAACTGGTTGAGTAACTGAGTGTTCCTGATTGATTGGTAACAGTAAAATAAGCTAATGGGAAAATCATTGATATATTATTCTTTTTAGCTTATAAAGCATCTGGAGTATATCTAGAATAGCCCTTATAAAACTGGACATTTACCTTTAGTAAAAGTGCCCACATCTCTGTCTGAAGTTCTTTGACACATTTTATTTTCTTGAAAATTTTTTGTTTTCATTCTTGAGAGCATGGTAAGCAGAACTTTCTGACACTTTTGGAACCTTAAAAAATTTTTATACTCAGTCTGCCACTACATCGTCCTATCCATCTAAAGGGCATGGTAAATACAGTTTTCAGCCTGTTTCCTTCCCTCACCCATTTAGGTGTGGTGCATTATTGCTGACTCATACAGGTTTTGCCAGTTGTTACATTTTCAAGAATTTTGCAAACTGGTTGTGCAACACAGCCTAAAAATTAAATGATATGCACTTACAATTAAATAATTAAGGGCACAAGTAATAAATACTCAAAAATACTACATAGTGCTATTTTTGTACTCTAGATTATTTGCAGCTATTGTAGCCATGAGGTGGAAATGCTTCCCATGGTCTGCCCTGTGCATCACTTCCAGCTCCATGTTCACCAACTTCTTGTCTGTAGCTTGAAATTGACCGTGGTGGGAGTACTGACACCAGAGATTAGCAGTATAAATGCTATGAAACTTACAAATTGGGGCTTTTCTTTCCCTCCAGATTGCTGCTTGATAAACAAACATGAACACACCACTAGGTGAAATGTGTACTCTCCTTCTTTTTGTATACATGCATGTTGGTGACCACTGCCAAAGGGAAAACCATTTCTCTTAGGTGTCTGTTCTGTCTTTTTGGACTTGTTACAGATCTATTTAAGTTTTGAGTCTCTACCATGCCTCTCTGAGCCCTTTTCCTTTTCTTTCTACTCACTGTCTTTCTTGCCGTCACCCCTAAGGAACCCTGAACCCTACAGAGTATTCCCTGCAGCCCACCATGCGGTGGGTCAGGGGCTAGAGCTGTTGTTGGCAACCCCTGGCAGAAAGCAAGGGAAAAAAACAAAATTCAGTCCTGGCTATTTCTTCTGTGCATGCAGTTGTTGAGAGTATTAAAGCAAGATTATGGGACACTATTAAAAACATAGCACTTTTTTTTAAACTGTAAAATAGTTGGGACACATATAAGAGTCTATGAAATCAAATATTTATTACTGAGGGGATTATCTTATTATGTCTGTGTTTTTAAAGTAGCTTGAGTGGTAACATTTCCGTGAGTGTTCACATATTGAAGGTAACTTATGAGACAATGGTGGAACTGGGAGGAGCCTATCTGTCCTTCAATTGGGTGAGGCGTTCAGCTCCACATTGGCCCAATGTGTGTTAGGGGAAACTTTCCTGACTATGGGTTAGTCTGTTCGTCCCTTACTGCCCATCATATTATATGTACATGTTTTGCCAGATACTATGTCAAAGTATTTGGCTTTATGCAGCCAAGATATTGAAGGGAGATCATCTCACCCAAGGCCTACTTCTCTTCCCCTTTCAGAGTTGTGCAGGTCCACTTGGAGTGTAAAATCACTCACATGGACTTGTGAGCACATAGAAGCAGGCTTTTAGGAGTTAAATGTTAGAAGTCTAGAAATCATGATTAGCCCAGCACCACATCTCCCCATCTGCTTAAAGTGTGCAGAAGAAGCTCTTTCATCCTTAGCACAATTAAGTCCCTACCTTCCATCTTTGGAGGGCATGATGTAAATACACGTGTGGTTGTGTGTGTGTGTGTGTGTGTGTGGTCAGATATCCATGCAGGTATTTGGCTGCATCTGGACAACTGAATGAAGGGAGATGAGCTCTCCCACCCCCGCTCCCCTTGCCCTTTGTAGAGTTGCTGCAGGCCCAGGCAGTCTGAGATTACTTCCTGGAGTTTGCAGTGTATGTCACCAACCATCACATGTCGCCACTGTGTGGAGGATGACTCTAAGGACGTAAATATTAGAAGTCTAGAAATCATTCCATTGTTCCAGCACTTAAGTCTTCGCATCTACCTAAGTATGTAACTCTACGTACTAAGTATGTAACATTCCATCCTCAGTAACATGACTTAGCCCTTCCCTTCCATCTCTGTAGGGTGCATCGCATGTAAATACGTTGTACATAAAAGTCACCAAATACTGGCATGCCGTATTTGGCTACATCTGGACCACTGATTGAAGGGAGACACTCTCTCCCAGGCCCACTTCCTTTGCCATTCTTAGAGCTGCTGCGGGTCCCAGCTAGAATCAAGACCCCGAGGGGCACATGTCACTCACCCATCTTAGAACACACCATCCATTTTATAATACCATATAAACGCTCAGAAATCATCCCACTGCCTGTGCTTCCCTAAGGGAAGACTGGCCCACCAGCCCGCGAGAACAGCTGCTTCTCTTCCTGGCAGAAACATGGCCCTTGCAGGGCCCCAGCGTAGGGAAACCAGTGTGTTCCGAATAACTGCCATGAGAGCGTTTCTGGCGCTCTGACTTAACCCAGTGTTACACCTTGGCCCGGTTTCAGTTTGAGACAGCCCTTGGGGACAGACAAAAGTCTTTGCAGCTATTTCCCTTTTCATATGTGTGGCATACTCAGCCCTCTCCTAAGTAGGCACTGTGAGGGAGCTAGTGGAACATAAGAACTCTGGATGGATCTGATTGTCCACGTGCTTTAGGGTCTTGTTGGGTAGGCTGAATGCTCATTTGCAGAGCAGATACCATCTTGGGCTCAAGGCTTTAGAGCATCAGCAACACGGGTGAGGGCCAGGAGGGTGTGAGCGCTGGATTCTGAGGTCTGTTCCCTGCACTCAGTAGATCTGTTTCTGGAGTCAGATCTTAAGTCTTGATCCTGAAGTTTCTTTCCTCTCTTCCAGCTGTAACAGCTGTTTCTATTCTAACGAGCAGAGAACTAAGGAAATATCCCCACTCGGAGTTGCACTAGTAATTCCGCTTTTACCTCCTCCTCAAACATCCCCACTACTCACCCCATCCTCAAAGCCCAAGGATGGAGAGACACACAAGGAAAGGGGTGGGAGCATCTGGAAGCATCAGGCTGAGCCTACTGGGAGGAAATCACATGATCAGTCCTCCTGGAACAAAGTGGCCAGAGAAAAGCACCCAGAACCTCAAAGATATATCCATTGTCTTCATTCCCCAACTCTAGATCAGAATGGGTTTTACTTTGTGATTCAGTGGTAAAATGGAGGGGCTGAATGAGTGAGGAAGGAGGATGGGAATTAAATGTTTAAATTCACTTAATGTCACAACCAGCTCTGCTCAGCTTATCAACTTCCCATTTGCCTATAACAGCAATAATTGAATAATCAGTGGGTAGGTGGAGGGGGAAGTACAAGTTTTAAATTCATAACCTGACCCTGGGTACCGTCTAGAAATAAGAATGTACTGAAAGTTAGGATGCCAGTTTGGGGTACAGTAGTGATATGAAGAAGAGGGCTGAATGCATAGACAGAGAAAAGGAGAATCCAATAACAAGATCCAATAACAGATCCCTTCCATGGTAGTCATTCGGAGCACATTGGCTTAGCTAGTTGGTATGGTGAACGGGCACCATGCTAACAGATTTGGAGACTGAATCCTAATCCCATCACCAACACTTAGCAGGTATATGATCATGGGCAATTCATTCAATTGCCTGCCAATTATAGACTATCTAGGGGAAAGAGCACTGGAGCTGGAGTCGAGAATCTGGACACTTGGCTCCATGCTTGCTTAGCTGGCTGACTTTGGGCAAGCCACTCGGTCTCTTCAGCTCAAGGTTCCTCAGCTATAAAATGGGAATAATATCTTCACTAACTACCTCACAGAGTTATGATGAGAATATACTCAAGATAATTGGTTGAAAACACAGTATAAACTGGAAAGCGCTATACAAAAGTAGGAGATCATTTTTTTATTGTCGGCTCACTCATGTTTCCGTGGCCTCCTGAACCTGTGTTATTCTGATCGACACTGACACCTTCCATGTCTTGTGCAGTATGGGAAATAAGCATGGGTAGGACACAGAGGACTGGAACCCTTTCACCCTTGGCATAGAGGAAGCAGAGGTGGTTGATGGGGGCGGTGGCCATTATGAACCAGTGATGGATATGGTAGGGTATTTTCCTGGGTCACTTGGATAGTAGCTTTGGAAATGGTGAGAATCCTTGCACAGGGGAAAGCTAACAGTGATTAAGAATTGAGTGGGGGGGTTGAGGCACTATTGCCCTTCTGACCCGGCTTGGGGGCAGAAGGCTTGACTGCAGGCCTTGGAGCAAAGACTGTCCTTGGAGTTCGGAGAGTTTTCATACATAGCAGCTGCGTAACAAGCACTAATGCTGACCGTGAAGGGGACGGTGTGGCCCTGTTGCAAGTTGAGCTCTTTGCAGGTGGCAGTTGCCTTGTTATCACCAGCAACCATAGCCCTGGTCGGTGTTATTTCTGCTCAGAAAGGTACGGGGCACGGCTTCCCAGGACCTTGATAGCACTCGGAGGCCGGGACGATGTCTCATCAATCTGTATCTTCAATACCATCTAGTAAGGTGCCTTACACACAAAACAGGGTGCTTAATAAATGTTGCTTGAATTTAGTCGTCCTCCAGCCTCACAAGGGTTGTGCTCCATGTACCACCGTGTGATATTTTTGGAAAACAGTTCTGATTTGGATGCCAGCTGTATGTGACTTGGGACAAGTCTCTCCAGCGATCTTGTCTTCATTTCATCCGTTAAGTGAAGAAGGGGAGTGGGTCAACAGCTCTCTGAGATCCCTGCCAGCTTGAGAATTGACCACCCTGTGATTCTCAGTTGTTTCCAAGGCCATGGCCACGGTGAGGAGTGCCTCCAACGCAGCTGGTTTCTCTCCAGGAGGCTTTGTTCACGGGGAGGAGACCAATGTGCATTAGCCGTTGCTATCTTCAGAATAGTTCTGTGTGAGCAGCCTTTTCAGAAAAGATATTTTAGAATGCATCTTTCTCCTCACAATCAGTGGGGAAGGAAAGGAAAACATGCAGAAATAGCAAAAACATCCCTGTAGGCAGCATGATTTTGTAGGCTTCTATTTAACATGTGTGTGTGTCTGTTTCTGAATTCATATTGTCTGCGTAATGGAAGCCAGTCAGAAGTGCACTGTGCAACTGACAGAGGTTGGCCCAGAGCCAAAGCTTCTGATGGCTAACCTAACTGTGGATAAGTAGGAACTGGCCAGATGGAGAAATGAGAGGGCTAGGAAACGTGCTTTTGGAGGAAATTTTATTTTAGCACCAAATGTTGCCAGTGACAATCTTTAGTTGGAAGAAATTGTTCTGAGCTAACATTCTTATCTCTGCCACTGTTTTTTTAAAGACCTATATACATGGAATAATATTCATATTTTAATTTAACCTTTATCTTAATTCTGTTCCATTTATTCAAAGAAAATAAATAAGCGGCATTTTTCATTGTATTTAAAATTGTAAAATAACTTGCATGCCAGCAATCTGTAATATCTTACCAGTTCAGATGCCTGTAATGTGTGACTTAATGTATACCTGTATTGTTTTAAACAGAACAAAGGAAATAATGCTTTTGTAAACTATTTAAATTTAAATTGGCAACATTTATTTGGCTAAGCAGTTATTGAAATGTCCACATGGTTTGCTTTTTCATTTGAAACTTGTGATCAAAGCTAGATAATGTATTGGGTTCATTAGGGAATTAATGACTAATTTGCCTTTTAAATGTGAAGTTGAACATTGTGTGCAAAGTAAATGTGTGATACAGCAAAATGTATGAAGTATGAAATATTTCACCCTGATTATTAATAAGGATCCCAACTGCCCCAAATACATGCAATTTTTGAAACTTTGGAATTATCTGCCTGACCTAATGCTAAGGTAAAATGTAAACAGTTTTAATTAATCAGGTTCTTTCTGCTTTCAAAGTTAAAATGTATTCATTTATATCTGGAATGATGCTTCCAAATGAAAATGTAGAAAGCACTGGGAATGAATAAACTTTCCTTTCAAAGTGAGGGTAAAGGCTGGTTTTATCTGGCTAATTTTTAGACAGTGTCTCTTCAGAATACATGTGTCGTATCATGGTGTTGTACTAGATGAATGTTTATTACAGAAAGAGCTATGAAGTGCTTTGTGATGAAGAAGTAGACAACCACAAGTAGCCAGAAGGAGAAATGAAAACCTGTTATCAAAATAAAAGTGCACACGTTTGAAAAAGCAGTTAACATTTGTTAGAATAAAGGGGAATAGGAACGCATAACCCAAATGGGTTAACTATTTCACCTTGAATTTTTTTACACCAACTTTGGATTCACATTCTTACTGTTTTTTAGCTATTCTGGGAATTTGTAACACTGAATACTAAAAATAATAAAGTTGCATTGTAAGGGTTTGACCCCAGAAAAGCAGGAAAAATAAATTTCCTGCCCTCCTGCTGAACTTTGATCCAACTTTCTGATGCCTGGATTTCATCACTTAGGCTGATGGTAAAGTCTGAGAGGCGCACAGGGCCTTGGCCTGATTTCTATGTTTGCTGACTCTCATCTTCCCTTGGATTATTTTGTTTACAGGATTCGTCCTTTCAGTCTACGGGGTTGCTGTGAATAGGGGTTACAAGGATGCACTCTGAGGTCACACTTGGCCAGTTCAAATTCCATCTCTATTAGTTGTTTGGAATTTATGCAAATTGCCTAGCCTCAGTTTCTTCATCTGTAAAATAGGGACAATGACAATAATACTTTGCAGTAGTACCACTCCAGGGAATCATGTGTAAGACATGTAGAGCAGTGCCTGACTGTAGAAGGTTAGGAATTCGAATCCTAGATTTTAATCTAAATAAATATCCATGGATGATAAAGCCAACAACATTCTCTATTTTCTGCTGACAGTGTCAATAATTTAAACAGGACCGAATGAATCTTGCCCATCTTTGAATCTCTACTGTGCATCCCCTTGGGGCAGACAGGCCTCCCCACCTCCCCCCTAACTCCGAGAATTGATTACAAGCAAGGTAGAGCTGACTCAAGGCTCACTCCTGACCTGCCCTCTCATTTAGCTCAGCCCCTCCCACTTCCCCCAGTCTCTGCTGGTTTGTGCTTGCTCTGCTGTCTGGGCACCATGCCTTGGCCTCGGCAGTCTGGCTTCTGGAGCAGCTCCTTGACTTTCAGCTCTGGCATGTCAGATTTGACTCCAGCATGGACTACCCTGCTCTCTTTCCATTTGATACTTCAGCCTTTCTCTGTGGCTACAAGAAGTGATGCCCATTTCCCATCTACCCCGGCTACCAACCCACTTCCCGTCCTCTAGTTGGGGAAATGAACAGATGCCCACAGCCTTTAGCCCAGCTATCCCAAGACATCAGGAGGAACCATACAGGTCTGTGTGGTTGAGTGAGGTTGTCCTATGCTTTGCACCCAGCCCACCTAAGAAAGGAGGTAATGAAGGAAAATCAGGCAGGTGCAGGACTCAAAAGGGTGATGGTGGCAAGGGAGGGGATTCTACAGACTGTAGAGTACTGGACTTAGCAGTCCTGAGCAAAATTTTTGAAGAGTATATTACCCACTGGAGAGGTTCGTAAGCACATGGACATGAACAAGTGGTCTCTCAGGGCCAGTGCAGAGTCACTTGGAGAAAATGATAGGAAATCTCAAGAGTAAGGACAAAATAACTAAAAAAAAAATTGTGTTCGCTTCAAAAAAAAAAAAAAAGATGGAACAGAATAAAATAAAAATTGTTATCTGCGTAGATGAGGCCTTTGGAGTTTTCATTGTCTAAAGTCTTAGGTGAATGAGAAGTGGAAAGTGCACTAAACTAAAACTAAAACTGCCTAAAACTAACTTTTTTTTTTTTTTTTTACTAACTCTGTCTTATATGATGATAGAGTCTTGTTATTTAGCCAGAAATTTACTTGGCCTTGATTTTGGGCCCAAGCTTTTGGAATATCTAATATTACTTCTTCCATCTTTGAAGTTTGTCTTAGTTGGTGATATGTGTTCATAAAAGTTATTCTTATGTGGTACCAATCAACAGTGTCACAGATACAAAGTATATCATTTAAATTTGTTATTATACAATATTAGGGTACAGCAGGACTCGTCTCCTCAAAATTCATGCAGATGTTTAAATTCTGATGTCTTAGTGTGAATGGTTGATGGATTAAGGGTGGAGACGTTGATTTAATTGTGGTGACTAGGAGGTGGGCCTAGTGGTCATTGGCCCTCAGAGGGTGGTTCTCAGGAGAGGCTGACTGTTTGGAGTTCCAGTTTTGTCCAGGCCCTGTCTCCCTGCTTCCCGGGCTCACCATGTGATGGTGCCTGTGCACCTGCCATGACCAGTCTCCTCAGGCACTGAACTATGGAGTCAGCCACTCCTGAACTGTAATCTCCAAACTGTAAATTGAATGAAGCCTTTTCTTTCCCAAAGAAGCTCCTGACAGCTGTTTTAGTTAAAACAATGATCTAATACAATTATTCACTTTTCAGATGCAAGCAGTATTATTGATGAAACTTGAGTGAAGACTGTCTAATTTGTTGACATTCCATCAAAGTATAAGTGTATATTAATTGTTGGATGAGTGAAATGCTTTAATGATTGCTGTGTACAGTTTTATGTTTAAAAAAATGACAAACAATTATTAAGAACTTGCAAGTAGATCAGTAGGGACATAGGTTGACAACTACTACAAATATATCAAGGGAGTATTAACTAGATAGCTTAGGAAGAACAGTATATTGTTTTTAAGCCAAGAAATGTTTATAAAAATTTAAATACATCAAGGTAGGAAAAGTGGTAGTTACATCACAGTATAGCTCTGTCTGGTCTATTTGATATATCTAGTATTTAGCATATAAAAATCTGAGTTTCATTCTTAGTTAACTCCATTTAGGACAAGGTCATGTTCATCCACTCACCTGAGCTGAAGTTTAGACTGAGAGAATCTAACAACTGATAGCACTGGGAAATTATTGTTCCAGTATTAAACATCATAATTTTAGAACTAACACTTTAAGCAACAATGCTAACCTTATAATTAAAATCTGGAGGTACAATTTTAGGTATGTGTATCCCAGAAGCTCATTTTTTGATAGTGGTGATTATCATCAGCCTTGACTTCAGATGAAGAGTGATTTCAGTTCTTCACCTTTGGTATTCAACTGAAATGTGCAGTAAGTGAACCTCTGATGGAGGCATAATGCCGTATGAAAAATATGAGAAAGGCAGCATTAATTCCAGATGATGGCGTTAGCGAAGTTTAAGTGAGGAATGGGTATTTGAAATGGTAGTGAAATAGGAGGCTTCTACCAGGCAGAGGTGGGATGACGGGGAAGGACATTGCAGGCTGAAGAATTTGCTTGAATCCTTTCTCTAAAGCTGTGTGCACCCAGCCCTGGCTTTTGTCTTCTCTGGTTCCTACCTTCTGCTATTTAACCAGCTCCAAGCTCCCAGAATGAAATCCCTACCTTTCAGTTTTAAGTTTGCATGTTTAGCTTACATTTTCTGAATTGTCCTTTAGGATATACATTTTTTAAAATGCTTATGTATACCAAGGAAACTATTTCCTAAAGGGACATTTTGATAACAAGAACATTGCCACTGGTATTAATTTGCGTATGATGATTCATTGTGACACGTGCTTTATGAGTTACTCTGGCTGGAAATGCAAAGATAACACTAATCAGGGCTTGTCATACATTGTTGAGTTGGAGTATGTTTTATCAATCACTTTCACTCTAGGCAAGCCCTGAAAACTAACAAGGACCACACTCTGTCCTTTATTTAGATGTTTTACGTAAAAGTCTCAGATTTGTTCCCTTTAGCATATTGAACTGCAACTGTTTGCCATTACTTGATGTGGGATTAAAGTAGAAGATGGCAGAGGTACCAGGGCACCTGCATTTTGGAGCGTTCCATAGCAGTCAACCTTTACTAGGTAAGCCTTTGACAAAACAAACAGTCTGTTCACTTTGTGCCTACATTGCATTATGTCATCATGTCAGCTCCTGTGTTTGGCTGCGGCTCTGACCATGTGATTTCTCCCAGCACCCAGGCAGAGGGACCAGCCTCTGTTTGGAACACTTTTTCTCTTGGTGGGAGGAAGAGTACATGGTGACATTTTTTTTTCTTTTAAAGATTTATTTATTTGAAAGGCGGAGTTACAGAGAGAGATAGAGACAGAGAGAGGTCTTCCATCCGCTGGTTCACTCCCTAGATGGCCAGAATAGCCAGAGCTGAGCCAATCTGAAGCCAGGAGCCAAGAGCTTCTTCCGGATGTCCCACATGGGTGTAGGGGCCCAAGCACTTGGGCCATCCTGCTGCTTTCCTAGGTACATTAGCAGGGAGTTGGATTGGAAGTGGAGCAGCCAGGACTCGAACCAGTGTCCATATGTGATACCAGTGCTGCAGGCCATGGCTTTAACCTGTTGCAGCACAGTACTGGCTCCTTTTTCTTTTTTCTTTCTTTCTTCCTTTTTTTTTTTTTTTTTTAACAGATAAGACTAGGATGATATTCTGAATGCCTCTCACCCCTTAGGTGGAATTTAATGTACACTGTTTTAGGAGATCATGTTTGAAAACATTGTGACTATAATAGGATGACATTTGTCTAAAGAAAGGTAGAAAATCCATCATTAAATTGCTTTATTTTAGAAAAAAGGAACTAAAATAAGATGCTTACACTTGTTAAAAATTAATAGCTAAAGGGCTGGCGCCACGGCTCTCTAGGCTAATCCTCCGCCTGCGGCACCGGCACACCAGGTTCTAGTCCTGGTTGGGGTGCCGGATTCTGTCCCGGTTGCTCCTCTTCCTGTCCAGCTCTCTGCTGTGCCCCGGGAGTGCAGTGGAGGATGGCCCAAGTGCTTGGGCCCTGCACCCGCATGGGAGACCAGGAGGAAGCACCTGGCTCCTGGCTTCGGATCAGCGCGGTACGCTGGCCACAGCGGCCATTGGAGGGTGAACCAACAGAAAAGGAAGACCTTTCTCTCTGTCTCTCTCACTGTCCACTCTGCCTGTCAAAAAAAAAAAAATTAATAGCTAAAATAGATGCCTACCATTGTGTATTGGAAAATCAGGGTGGGGGGTGTCATAGATTAATATCAGTCAGACACTGACTTAAAAGCAAAGTAAAAGAAGCCATGTCACAAAGGAACATCCTTGCAATAAACTGCACCAGGATGGCCATGGACCTTTGCCTGACTTAAGGGGACCCACTTTGTCAGTGTCCCCAGGAGTGATGTCACAGAGGTACAGTACGGATTTGCAAGAAACTTGCTGGTAAAGCAGAATAAGTTAGATACAAACTTACAGTAAAATATGGAACTGTCAACTCACCCATTCAGAGTATCCTCTCTGCCAGGTGTGTTAGGTTTTTTCATGTTCCTGGGACATGTCACAGATGGTCTTACTTTAAAGAATTTGATAGGATTTAGGAGACACATTCGTCTCATCAGGAATAGAAAACGCTGGAATTCAAGTCAAGATGCCTGGCCTTCATTTCTGAATCTCCATTTACAAGCTGTAGGACTTTGTGCCAATTACTCAAGTTTTCCAAGTCTTAGTTTCTTCAGACACCCATTTATTCTTTTTAAGGTTGGTTTGAGGATTGGATGAGATAGCAAATGAAGTGCTGGCACGATGCTTGGTATGTATGAAGTATTCAATAAGTAGTCACCGAACATCAGTTCTGTAGAAAATGGCTCTCAGAAAGCCATTATCTCCAGGAATATTTGAGACACTGATGCACTCTAAGATGCTATAGGAAACAAAATGCAATGGTCATAGAATTAACATTGTCTTTAAAGAGCACACAAGTATTTATATTTTTAAAAGGATTTTTTTTCCTTAAAAACCCAAATCACCAATGATCTTCATTGCTGGAATTAGTGGGTAAAAATTGCGTGAAATTCCAGGGTGTTTACTCTACCAAGGGTGCTCCCTGCTCGGAGGGGAAGAGGTACATGCCAGGAGAGGTTTAACTGCTGGGCGGCTCCCTTGCTGGGTGTAGCTGGAATGTACCTCAGGCAGGCACTGCATTCTGCTTGCTTGCTGCATTTTTGGAAGGTGCACCAAAGCTGAGCACTGCTGCTAGGGATGGTCTACTCCTGACCAGGAAGATTCCCAGCGAGGAGTTTAGATGAAGGAATGGAAGGATGGCGCTGTTCCCTCCCAGAGCCTGCGCAAAGGAAGCCACTGCTTGGGCTACCGGGCAGGTGTCCCTGAGGGGTTCCCATTCCTTTTGTCTCTCTCCACCCCATCCCCGCGCCCCCCCCTGCTCCTGCCGCGCCCCCACCCCAAGACCAGCCGGTCCCCCTGAACAACCACTTCTATTTTCTCCTTCCCACCCACATCAGACCAGTTCCACTGTAGGTGCTGAGCTGGAAGTTGGGATGGGAGGGTAGGACGGGGCAGAAACAGGCAGAGGAGACAGGGACATCCCCATCCCTTAAGTTATGACCCTCTTGGATCTTTGGCCTTAGATTTTTATGTGTTTGCCTTTCTCTGTCTTTCGTGGCAAGTTTAAAGGGCTGATGTCATATCCTCGTATTAGTAAGCAAGGGGCCAATACAAACCCTGCCCTGCGTGCCTCTTTACAAAAGGTCAAAGTTCTATACCAAGGAGCTTCTGGACGCCGTTTCTTGCTTCCAGAGCGTCGAGGGTAGGTGTTTCCACCAGCGGAGAGCCGTGATCTCAGGCAGAGCAGAGGCTAGCCAACTGCAGCCTCTTCCGACGTCCTGCCATTGTCAAAGAGCCGGGTTGGCGGGCCGCCGCGCCTGCCTCTCTCGAACTACAATTCCCAGGCTGCCGCGCGCCATTGTCTCACGCATGCGCGGCGCGGCGGCGGAGGGGGAGTCAGCGGCACCGACAGTGCGGTCGTAGTGGGGGAGCCGCTGGCGGCTGGATCCGGCAACTCCCTGGGAGGCGGACGCAGGCGGACCGGCCGTTGCTGGGAACCGAGCGGCGGCTGGCTGCCGGCAGTTCCCGCGGGTCCGTGAAGGAGGTCGGTGGCCGCAGCGGCGCGTCAGGTAAGCTCAGCACGGTGCTTTCCAGGAAGTCCGTCTGAAGGCGCGGCCAGGGAGTCACACCGGCCATGGTGGCTGAAGACAGAGAGGGTGCAGCCTCCCAGCCGTCCGGCTGCGGTCAGCTTTCCTACTGGCCCCTCTCCCGGAGCAGGGGGCCGCTTCGGGCGAACCAGCCCGGGTTGGGGCCGAGGGGGCGCGCCGGGCGTTGCCTGCAGATCGAGGCGCGCGAACCCAGACGAGGATGAATCACTCGGGGCCCAGCCTCCCCGGGTTCGGGACCGGCCCTGCCCTGCCCTGCCCTGCGCTGGCCGGGAAGCTCCTTGCGCCCTACCGTGCCCCACTCGCCCCTTCCCGCCGGCCCAGGCGTTTCTCGAGGGACAATCGTCTTAAAAGGGTTTCTCCCCAAGACTCCTTCAAAGGCTGCGGTTGGTTGAAAGTTGGAAGGAGGGAGAAAGCAAAAAGCCTGGGGCACACCCTTTTCGTGATTGAAATCTGGCTCGTCTTGCGTTCTCGGTTTTGAGCTCTGTCCTCTGTCTTAGAATAAATTCCTGGCTCCCTTGCAGCACAGCTGGATCCGGCTGCGAAGTTTGTGTGTGGATGTGTTTTGAGGACGTGACTGGGTTGTTACATTTTTTTGCTTACAGAGGTTGCTGCATTTGCTCCGCAAGCCAGCATTCTGATTACAAACAGAAATGGGAAACAGCCGCAAGTTCTTTGCTTCGTTCTTCTTCTTTTTTTTAATGTTTAGTTAAGAATCGCATTTCCAACTTGCCCTTGGCTTCTCTTAAAACCAAAAGTCATCTGGTAATGAATACTGCAGTAAAACTTACCCCAGGAGGTCATACTTCAACAGGAAATAAGCCCGTGGAGATTTCGGTTAGTTCTGTGCCGGCTCCCTCCGTTTGTAACATTGTCATGCAGCTCGTGTTTCTTTTTGCTGAGAACCATTCAGATTAATTTTTCGGCAGATTAAATTGATGAATTAATTGGCCTTTCAAACATTTATTAGGCTTACGAAAACAGCTTAGCCCAGGCTCATTGACTCTTGCAAGTTTCTTCTGGTCCCAAGTACTTTTTCTCCCTAGCGCTTCTTTGAAACCTCGAATCTCCTTTAACACATTCCTGCCAAAGGGACAAAAAGGGAAGCTGTGAGCTCCAGGGTACTGTAGCTCTTTAAGCTTTGTCGCTGTTGCACCTCTCAGTATTTCTAGTTTGTTCATCTTTAAAATGAGGTAGTTGGGCCAGATAACCCCAAGATTGATTACAGTCCATAGTATCTTTGATTTTTAAAAATTTATTCATTTGATTCATTCAGGAAATATTGGCCACCTAGGTCATTCCAAGCCTGTTCTAGGCAAGAAGGAACAAATATGAATTCTCGTGGTTCTTACTGACATACTGCTCAATTGTCTCTAATCACATTTTTATGACTAATTTCTGTGTTCTGTGGTTAGCCCAGCAGGCCAAATTACTCTGTAATTAATAATTTCACCTGAAGTTAAAAACATACAGGTCAAATCCCATTACAATTACAGGTAATGGTTTCACTCTAATCAAAGGTTTTTCAAGCCTCGACTACTGACCCCTTTAAATAAAACGCAGCTCATCCTGCCGAAAGGACGCGACTGTTGCTGTGACGCCTTTTGAACTCAGCGTGTATAAATCACTCAGGGCCTTGTAGTGTTGAAGTGGGACCCTAAAGCTGATCCCTGGGGGGGGGGTGCTGCCAGGGAGCACACTTCCAGGAGTGGGGAGATAATTCTGAAGATAATTTAGGCACAAGCGAGTGGTGCAGCGGGCTTAGCTGCTTCTTGGGCCGCCCACATTCTGTGTTGAAGTTCAGATTAGAGTCCCGGCTACTCTGCACTTGTGATCCATCTTCCTGCTCACGCGCCTGGGAGGCAGCAGATGATGGCGCAGGTACTTGGGTTCTTGCCACACCTGTGGGGGACTGGGATGGAATTTCTGGCTTTGACACAGCCTTACCCAGATGTTGTGGGCATTTGGGGAGAGTGAACCGTGGATCGAAGATCTCTCTCTCCCTCCCTATGTCTGTCGCTCTGCCTTTCAAATAAATAAATTTTTTTGCAAGACATCTTAAGGTGTTTATAAGGATTATTTAAAGGCCAGTGCTGATAACTGTCTTACTCAACTTTTGAAAATGATCCTAGGCTGGCGCCGCAGCTTACTAGGCTAATCCTCCGCCTGCGGGACCGGCACCCCAGGTTCTAGTCCCGGTCAGGGCGCCAAATTCTGTCCCGGTTGCTCCTCTTCCAGTCCAGCTCTCTGCTGTGGCCCGGGAAGGCAGTGGAGAATGGCCCAGGTGCTTGGGCCCTGCACCCGCATGGGAAACTGGGAGGAAGCACCTGGCTCCTGGCTTCCGATCGGCGCAGCTCCATTTGGGGGGTGAACCAACAGAAAAGGAAGACCTTTCTCTTTGTCTCTTTCTCTCTAATTTTGCCTGTCCAAAAAAAAAAAAAAAAAAAGAAAATGATCCTATTTACTTTAACAAAGACAGTTGCCTTCACAACTTGTTTTTCCTCTTTTTTCTCCTTTGTTTCTCATTGTTGTATCCTCTCAGCTGTTTTCCCCCTGTCCTCTTCTGTCCCAGTTGTTTGCAGTCAGAGTGATTCAAGTATATATTTTACCCCATCCATTACAAGGCACTGTCTTATGTCTTAGGTGATCCTGTCTGGGAGCTTACTCTGAGATTAGGCATATGTATTTGCTTCTCATTCAGAGCACTTGGAGGAGCCATTTGTAGGGAATAAAAACATGTAGATGTTTAGAAGGAGAGATCCTTCTCAGTTGTAGGGGTGGGAAACAAATGAAGTCAGTCTATTTTCCATTCAGTGTTCATCTGTGTTCTCCGTGGTTGACCTCTATGCTGCTGGAGTGCGTGTGACACATTTACATAGTGTACAGTAAATTTTGTAAACTTACTCTGTTTGGAACCTGAGAAGAGCTGGGTACATGAAAATCAGTTAGATCTGGACAATATCACAGGGAGGACAGGAGGCAGCGGCAATGAGAATATACCTGGCTAGAGACCAGCGTAGGGAGGGTGAGAGAAGACAGGAGGGAAAAATAGGTTTAGTAGGTTTTCCATGTCAGTCTTAGGGACACTGCTATTGCTGTTGAGGCTGTGTTACCATTATCTTCTATGAATCAAATTAATGGGCAAGCTACTCTTAGGCTTTTTAATTGCTGTTAAATTTTAAACATGCTTGGGCTCTCTTGATTAGGATGGGTGGGGAGGGCATTGTTCTCTTGGCTGTAATAATAGTCACAGCACTGTCATCCTCCCGCCATCCACCTTCCTTGCTGATGCTTGACCTAGGTGCTTTCTCAGTTCTGTCAGATTCTTTATCATCGCAAATATAAAATCATACTGAGAGGGACATACAGGAAACAGTTGGGGCCGGTGTTGTTGCACAGTGAGTTAAGCCACTGCTTGCGACACCTCAAGTTCTGAGTCCCAGCTCCAGTTCTTTTTTTTCTTTTCTCCAGAGTATTAAGGTTTTATTGGGGATAGGGCATCCATCAGAACGGTAGGGGCAGAGAGTGCCCAGTCACTTGGACCGGGGGAAAGCAAGGGTACAGGGTTGTATGGAGAGAATGCACCTGGGCAGGCCAGGCGGGCGGCTCAGCAGGGAGCAGAAAGCTGATCAAGCGTTTATAAAAAAAAAAAAGGGGTTTAGCTTTTTCCTTCCCCTCTTCCTCCTGTAGGACCAAAGGATCTGTAGAGAGTAAATTAGCAAATTCCTCCCCAGGTTTGGAGATCCCAGGTGCTGGGCAAAGGACCAGCTCCAGCTTTGATCCAGCTCCCTGCTGATGTGCCTGGGAAAGCAGAAGATGGCCAGAGTACTTGGGCCCCTGCAGATGAGGTTGGAGTTCCAGGCTTCTGACTTTGGCCACTCTGCCTTTCCAATAAATAAAATCTTCAAAGAAAAAAGAAAATTCAGCTAGATCTATAACAGTCTATTGGGTGCTTATTAAAGTTACAAATAATTGATTTGCTATTTATGTAAAATTGTAAATAAATGAACATGCATTCTTAGATCTGTTTCTGTCTAGTCCATCAGGTTATTTATACTAATTCAAGAATAGAGGCCTGAATAACCTGAAGTGATAAATAATTAAAAATGCATGTGTAGTATTCTAGAATTGTATTTGAAATGATCATTAACCTGCATCTTGAAGCAGGTTAATTTTTTTTTGTTGTTGTTGAGATGTGATTAGCATTGAATAAAATGCACATATCTTCAGTGACCAGAACAAGACAGAAAACTCTTTGGCTACCACCCTTTGAAAGGTCGCTTTCCAGCCATTGCCCTCGTCGTCTTCTCCAAAGGCAACCACTTTCTGACTATAGATATCTGACACCATGGATTTGTTTTGCCTAGCCTCAGACTTAACACAAATGGAAATGTAGAATATACATTTTGTAACTGGCTTTTTCATGTGACAGTTTTTTTTTTTTTTGAGATTCAGCATCTTTTGTTGCATATATCAGTGGTTTGTCCTTTTTAATTGCTGAGTAGTGTTCTATTCATCTGTTTTCTGCTTGATATTTGAGTTATGTCCAGATTTGGGCTACTGTGAATGAGGTTGTTACAAACATTGTACAAGTCTCTTGTGAATATGCGTCCATTTCTCTCGGTAAATAACAAGGAGTGCAATGATTAAGGCATTGGGTACATATACACTTTATTAAAAAAATTCCAAATAGTTCTCCAAAAGCATTCACTTATGCATGTGAGTTCCAGTTGCTCCTTATTTTTAGCGTTGACAGTTTTTAGCATTGTCAGCTTTTTTTATTTTACACACACTGCAAGATGTACAGTGGTGCCTTGTTATGGTTTTAATTTGTATTTTATTGATGATTAAGGATGTGGAGTACTTTATCATGTGCAAATTGGCTATATGAAGTCTTCTGTGAAGGTTTTATTCAAGTCTTGGCTGTTTTTATTGGGTCATTCATCTTTTTATTGTTAGAGTTC